TTAACGGCTGTCAATGAGACAGCCACTAGAGGCTGGATTAACCCTAATATAAACATAGCAGTTTCTCTGAAACTGCTATGTTTACAGCAAAAAGGGTTAAACCTAGCTGGACCTGGCACCCAGACCACTTCATTAAGCTGAAGTTGTCTGGGTGCCTATAGTGGTCCTTTAATAATCCTAAATATGACCTGGGGCTTGGAGGTTCTTGTTGGGGGGGGGATGGATTATATTATTTATGTAGCTACTCTATACCAGTGACACTTCTCTAGTGAGTACAACCATCCTTATATTGTTCATATGCGCTGTGTGGGAGGGTCACAAATGGGGAGAGGGAGGAAGAAGAGAGTTTTCTGTGTATATTTAAATGTCTGTCTGACTGTCAGTCAGTCAATCTTTTTCTCGCTTTATATAACATCTACCTTTTATCAACCAGGTAAACAGAGCAAGCCCCATTTTCATTCACATCTTCACATTCACCTCTTAATGCTCAGAGGGACGGATAGTCTTTTGAGCGATTCTTCCCCATTCGTTTCTGCTAAAGAGTTTGTTGACACTCCTGAGGGCTGAAGTATTACTCTCAGTGAGTCCAGAGGTTGCCCACATATTGACCACCTTCCTGGCCAGATCTATAGTAATATCGAAGCTACATTTTGCCCCATATATCTCCTATATCCTTTTCATAGACTTTATGAGCCATTTAGAATAGGGCATAGTGTGTTTCTGAGTGTGAAGTCTGTGTGTGAATACATGTTGGTTCTTTACATACACGGGATAGGTAATATGAAGTTAGGAGTTACCAGCGGAATAGGAGTAACAGCTAGTAAATCTTACAGAATAAAGTGTTGGGAAAAGACTAATTTACCCAGCACAAGGGACTGCTGCAGGGAACCAACAGCGAATATGGAATTAATTATTATCAATCTGCAGCAGCAGTAACATTGAGGTACGTCACCACAACTGCACAAACATTGATACAGCGGGAATGTGTAGGGGCATGGGTCCAAGGCTAGACTTCCAACATTGCCCCCAGGCCGTAGACACCTGCCTACGGTCACATTGTGTGTAATCCTGTGCAGGTCTTATTCATAAATTCTACATACTAATTTATTATTAGTCATGTTAGTTTCTTAACTTGACCGATTTAACTGATCTTAATGGTAAAGAAGTTTGGTGTATATAGCTTAACAGTTAACAAACACTTTTTGGATACTTGTCAAGTTGGGAATCTTAAATATATATTTTTCATTATGTATTAAAAGGGTGCTGAATGTAAAATTTTGCTATAAAATTAGTTTTTTGTTTTTAAAGCAGAACTTTCCTTTCTCTGGAAGCACATTTACTTGCGTATGAAGTGCAGTGTAAATAATTATAACATGCACTTACCTGTAGTCACATTACCTGTGAATGATCATCTTAATTTGTATCGCCACACAACACAATGCTGTACGCCATTCTAGCGTAATTTCTGACGCCTTCGCAACTATTCGTCATTTATGGGACATTGTGCAAATACTTTTTTGGTGTCATTATTATAAGGCTTTCCAATGAACATGAGCCTCTCTCTGTTTAATCCCTCATTACAGACAGAACCATGCCATGTAGTTTTTTCCATTTTGGAATCTGAGAGTGCTTTCCCTTTCTTATTGTTTTTTTGGTATCTAACCCAGCTACTCCTCTATCACTATGTCCTCTGCTCTAAAAGATATTGGCTTATTCTTTGACACTTACTCTCTTACCCTATTCTTAGGCTGTGTTCACCAATATAGGTGACCACATTAGGCCTGGCCACTGCTAAGGACCTGTAATACACTACTGTCCTTTCTTTAATTAGACTTACCCCACGTTCTGTGAGTTAGGGTCATTCACTGTCCTGACACATCAACATCATCATCACACTGTCATGCATGTTTTAGCACCTGCTAACAACCAGTGCTTGCTTCCAATATTATTATTAGCAGTTATAAAGCGCCAATACATTCCACAGCACTTTACAATTATAGAATGGTGATATTTCGAGGTGAAGAAGGCCTTGCTTAAACAAGCTTACAATCTATGACAATTTGAAGAAGACAGATACTTATAGACACTTCCTGGTGAGGCGATGTGACCAGAATTTGAACTGATATTCTGCATGCTTCCCTCACAATGCTTGCATGCATGGTGCAGTGGGGTTATGTTAATTTACATAGTATGCCGTGGCCATGCCAGGACAACCAGGCACAAAATAATAGCATGACCCTCCTTATTTGTTTTGTTAACCATAGGCTTGTAGCTAAATGCCAAATGTGACAATTCTCCTTTAATCCTCAGCTCAGCATAAGATACATGGAATCAAACCACATTAAATAATACTGAGATATAGGTACCATGGAAACAAAAATATGTAGAAATATGAAAAGATGTAGCACACTTGAAGATGATGGCTTTTTTTGCACCTTCATATGAAATTCTTAGTACCTGTAATTTCCATCACTGATACAGGTTTTCTTTTTCTGCACGGTGTCATCAAGTATAAATATATCTAGCAAACCTCTGATTGTTTGCTTTTTATGTGATATTTTACATGATCGGAACACACACAAACACATTCTGTATTCTAGTAGGGCAACAAACAGGTTGTATTTTTGATTAGCTGAAACATATCTGAAAAACATATTTTTTATATATATCCTGGTTATTATTTTTCTAAAACACTCACAGTTTTCTTTAAATTTTTTATATTTATCACAGAAGGAGGAGAGGCACATAGCGCAGAAGAAGAATCAGTGATAGAAAAAGGTAAGTAACTAGAGGGGGGGAAGGGGACCACTATAACTAGGGATAGGGACACTAAAGCATTAGGAACACACATTTGTTCTTAACGCTTTAGTGTTCCTTTAAGAGTATTATCTGGCTCTTATGTAGCGATGTTAAAGGATGAGGATAACTATTAGAGGTTCATGGAACAAATGTAACCAAATAGACAGACAAACAGAAGGAAATACGGGGGTTAGGATACACAAACTAAAATATGAACTGCATCAAATAAAGGGTAACTCTAGGGCACACCAGGACACCCCCCCTGCTCTGCTGCCTTGATAATACAGAATTGACATTTCTGCAATTTCAATATCCTAGCTGGCAATGATAGACAAAGCACTTGGCTACCTTGTCCCAAGCAATATTGGTCAATCAGATGGAGGTATTAGTCTTAAACAGTTTGTCATAAAATCAAGTGTTTAAATGCTACATTAAGGATTAGGATGCTTAGAGGTTCACTTTAACACGTATTATAGGTGATGTGCATTTTATTAGCTGGTGTAATTTGCAGAGAACTGTCAGTTTACCTTTAATCAGAAGTACTTTGATTTAGAATTTAGAGAAAGAGTGGACCAAAGATGGACAACATAAACTAACAGTGTTATTCACTAACGTCTGAATGACCCCATACTGTATAGGGCAAAACAATTTGGTTCCAGTAAGAATGCAAAAAAACAGACATTTCTTCAGCCCGAAAAAAGGCCAAAGAAATTCCAATAACATCTTGACACTACTAATGAAAATAAATAAAAGGTCTTATTAGAGCATTCTGACAAACAAGTCTTTTTTTAGATTTGCCATGGGGGCATAGGGAGATTTTAAACTGCCCTTATTACATAGTTATAGGCTGACATGAGACATGTGTCCATCAAGTTCAGCCTTCCTCATATTTGATTTTTGCTGTTGATCCAAAAGAAGGCAAAAAAAACCAGTTTGAAGCACTTCCAATTTACAATAAACTAGGGGGAAAATTTCCCTCTTGTCCCCAGAATGGCAGTCAGATTAATCCATGGATCAAGAAGCATTTACCCTACATTAAAAAATAATATCCTAAAATATTCTGTTTTTGCAAGTATCTAGTTGCTGTTTAACCTCCCTGGCGGTAATCCCAAGTGTGGCTCGGGCTTAGTTTTCAGTACCAAAAGCGGTAACCCTGAGTCAGGGGGGCAGAACCAGGCGTGAAATTCAAAAAAGTAACCATTCACACAATACATTACTGTATCAAACCTTTTCACCACAGTTTTGTCCCAGTGCTTTCTCCAGTGTCCTGCCTGCACTTTTACCGTTCTTTCTGCCTGGAAACTTGAGAACGTCCATGGCATCCAAAAAGCATCCCTTTAGTTCAAAAGTGGTTTTAGACCTGCTTGAAAACAGCAATAGTGAACTATTATCACTTGCAGAATTGAGCAGTAGTGATTTATGGGAAAATTAATCATCAGACACTGGAAGTGACGACAGCGACGATTCTGCGACTGAGCTCAGTAATGTGCGAACTTGGTGCTCTATTGACTGTGGTACGGATCAGGCAGCGCCCCCAAGATTCCCATTTGCTGGAGTATCTAGTATGAAAGTAGACTTTGAACACATCAACCCCTTAGCCTACTACAATTATTTCTGACCAATGAGGTTAATGAAAAAATTGTTACTGAGACAAACCGGTACAAAGAGCAAGAATTAGCTACTCTGCATCACAAGATTTCAAGAAGCAGAAAGTGGGAACCAGTGACCAAAGATGACATTTGGAAATTTCTGGGACTAATAATACTTCACGGAGTGGTGGGGACACCCCTGCAGAAGTGGTATTGGACAACTAATAAATTACTTGACACTCCATTCTTGGGTACGGTCAGGTCTGAGTACAGATTTTCCATGATCATGACATTTTTACACTTCGAAAACAACAAAGAATTTGATGAAACTACTCATCCTGCACCAAAACTAAAGAAAATTTGGGAAGTATCTGAAATGATTCTAAAGAATTTACAACGGAGCTATGTGCCAGAAAGAGATATCAGCATGGATGAAAGTCTAATGGCCTACAAGGGAAGGCTCAGCTGGGTACAATACATTACATCAAAGAGACAGAATGAGTTGGCATAAAATCCTACATGCTATGTGAATCGTCATCTGGCTACATTTGGAATCCAGTCATTTACACTGGAAAAAGAACAAAATTCAATCCAAAATACAGCAACTATGGAATGGCAACATCTTCTGTTCTTTCACTCATTGAGCCATTGCTAAATCAGGGCTATTGCGTAACAACCGACAACTTTTATCCGTCTACTGAACTTTATGAGTTTCTTCTGCAAAACAAAACAGATGCCTATGGAACCGTTAGGGCTAACCGCCTGGACATGCCGCCAATGTTTGGCAATAAGAAGCTGAAGACTGGAGAAATGGTTGCCTGGCAAAAAGGCAAAATGATGGCACTGCGATGGCGTGGCAAGAAAGATGTGTGCCTAATGATTCGTAATACCTCCACTGTTATGGTACGGACGAAAGGTGGGAAAGAGGTTGGCGTTGTCAACCTGGAATGCCTGACTGGTCGTCCCTTATGGACTACATCCCACCAACCGAGAAAAAGTCAGCACCTACAAGGATGTGCGTGGTTTGTTGCTCAAAGCGAGATGACAGTGGGAAAAAAATCAGAAAGTAAACCAGGTTCCATTGTCCTGATTGTGACATCGGACTTTGTGCAGTCCCATGTTTCAAAATTTGTCATACCCGGGATGTTTACTAAACCAATATGCAGTGTCTAGTATTACAGTGACTAGTAATATTGCACCCTTGTATGGACAAATTTCAGTGTTTTTGGTTTGATTACACTATTAACTAGAAAAGCTACAATTTCTGGGGAAATTGTGTGAAGTGTTCTTGCCTCCACCTGTAGTCTACAACTGGAGTGGGCAGAGTAACTGGGTGGAGTGGCTGGAGTAACTTGTGTGGTTGGAATGGCTGGAGTAACTTTGGAAAGGTTGGAGTGTGGTTCACTCACTCTACAGCAAGGGCAGAAAAGAGCAATTAATAACAAACTGCTCCAAATTGCTCAATAAGAATAATAATAATAATATATATGTGAGATAATAGTAAATGGTCTTGCCATGTAGGGATATAAATGTACCAATTTATATCAAAACGTTCAGCTATCCCTGCTGCCACTGTGATGTTTTGTACAAATCAGCCAATAATTCCTGTATAACGAAGTACTCACTTTATTGATACATATATAACAGCATCTTCATATTGCAGCCTTGTTACACAGGGTTTCAAATCCCTCGAACATTCCACCAACTGCCAACAGGAATTAATAGAAGTCAAATAGGGCAGAGAAGAGCCATTAAAAACAAACTGCTCCAAATTGCTCACTTCACTGGCGGTTGCCATCTTCAAACGGTCTTATTTTAAAAACTATAAATCCTACATCGAGCTTTATATTGTGAGAATCACAAGACCCAGACCTACATTCTGATGCATAGTATGTCTCTGAAATATTAAAAATGAAGGCACAGTCGCAGTTTAGATATTGCCTTTCAAATTTGAGGTGGCTAGAGTGGAGTTTCAATGAATGTCAATGGACGGCGTGAGTTGCAAACACATGGCCATATTGTGAAAACTATCAGGATTATGGCTTAGCCGTGGACATGTTTAATGGCAGCAGGGATAGCTGAACGTTTTGATATAAGATTTGTGTAGGTGGGCTTGAAAATGAGGGAGTTGTGGTAGTTTAGAAATCATGTCCTGATTTTTCAGCTTTTGTGAGCTCCCACTCTAGTTTTGAACATTTCGCCATTCATTCCTATGGGACCAATTTCGCCACAAAAACGACGATATTTCGTGAACCATTCGGCAAAACGTTCCACAAAGTAATAGCACACCAAATCGGGAACAATCCGCACGTTTCGGTATATTACTGTCTATGTAGTGTAAAAACTGTTGGAGGAGTTAGGGTGGTAAATTTGGCTATAATAATAATAATAATATATATGTGAGATAACATTAAGTGGTCTTGCTATGCAAGAACACTTAATTAAATTTATTATTATATTATTAATTTTTATAATTATTTATTATATTATAATTTATGATTTTGTGTTTAAAACTTTATTATACCCGGGATGTCTACTAGACTCTTGTTTGGACAGATTTAAGTGAGTTATTCCTAAGAATTACAAGCCTACAATACAAAACAACAAATTTCCATACAAAACAATGTACCGCTTTAACATTCAAAAATACTGACATAATTAGACCGCCAAGGAGGTTAAACATCTGTATTGACTCTGATAATACTCTCCTTGTAGAATTATTTTTTATTTTACATTTTATTTTTTGCATTTGATGTTTTCAATGTAGCACTTTTTTAAGAGTTTTTTTTTTTAAACTAAATGTCCACTGGCTGCTAGCGCTGCTAGCACGCAAACAGTACTTAAAATTATTGGTCACTTGCAAATAGCAAGTGAACGCTAATTTGCAAATGTACATAATAATGGATGCATTTTGTCCCAATTTTTGTGCAAAAAGGACACATTTTAAACCAGCCATCAAATCTATCCAGCCAAATTCTGACCAGAATAAGCTTTAGTTAAAATAAGCTTTGCCTTTCTGGTCAGGATTTTGGTCATATTCGCCATATTTTGTTCATCCAGCCAGAAACCGATGCTTAAAGAATTATCCTGCAGTGTCTTGAGATTGGAAGACACTTAGAGGGTCAAATGAGCTGCCAAAAGCTAAACAAAGGCCTGAAGGGGAATATGGCAGTGTGACGAAATAGAGGTTCAGTTAAGTATATGTACCTTCCCCTCTAGGACACCGTTATGGAAAATGCCACATCAATTTGTGGGGTCTTTTAAAAAACCAAATAGCCAAAACTTACATGTCCACCTTAAAACTAGTCTGGAGATGATTAAGCAAGGTGAGATTAAGATAAACTAGGAGCTAGAGAGGAAAAATGTATCTACAAAGTGAAAACATTAAAATACGAAACTAGCAACAAAAAAAACCCCAAACCCTAAAATAATACAAAATTAATCTACACCTATAATCTTTGAAAAAGATAGGAACACACCTTTTTTTCCAAATGTGAAAAGCAATATTTATTTAGCTCATTCTCCTGTCTTCTTAGTAAAGAAGAAAGGTTTTATATATGAGCTCAGCTTTACACAAAATATGACGTTTGGAAATGTTATGAATTGGTATTTGTTTAATAGGTCCTATATCCTTCTGAATGAAACCTTCAGGGACTTTATAGCCTGTTGCACACATTGTACTCCATTACTGTAGCTTAACAGATATGCAACATGAAAATCACTACTGGAGTCAAAACTTTATAAGACTTGAGTGGCCACCCTTCTCCACATTTGGCATTATTCTGATGTTGTTGAGGACTAGGTTCCCCCCCCCACCCCATTTAATAAGTAGCCCCCACCCACTGACCATGGGTGAGGGGCAGAGAGGGTCATTAAAATGTCCCCTTCACATCACAAAATTTACTACAAATTCCAGTGTAGTCCTCGAAAATTGGGCTTCGTGTTTAACTTGCAACATCCATTTCATGTTTAAAATAACAGTTTTTAACAACTAAGAAGAAGGACAAATATTTCTATTTTATCAAAGTAAGTTGATCTATAGATATACAGTTATACACACACATTTATGTATTTGGGGCAGTCTTCATTTAGTGCTTCACCCCTCCCCCTATTTTGCAAATGAGTTCCTCATTAAAGATGCTGTAGCTGCTGTGTAATCATTGTGATTGTGAACTCAGGTGCCATGGTCCCTAGTGAGTAAGCTGCCTGGTTTTACAAGAGACAGAAAAGATCTGATTTATTTCCAACTCATTCCCCACCTTTAGGATGATGAGTACAAAGGTCTCTTGTTAGTAGGCAGGGGAGCGCTGCTTCGTTAACACTCCTCGTTTTCAAGTGTCACTCCTCATTTGAAAATAGGAATAAAAAATAAGAATATCAGAAAGTGATTATCGAGCCCGGAGGGAGCTGTGAACAAGTGTGAGAGCCTGGAGAATCTCTTGTCCTTTGCGCTATAGGCAAATTAAGGCAGCTCTCTTAGTTAGGAAGAATTTTCAATATCCAACGTTCCCCAGGAGAGGAAACGCCAGCCTGGTCATCGGTTGTCTTTCATATTCTGCAGCTGGGATTTTATCGGCTCATGCAGCTTAGGGAAATTGCTACCAGCATACAGCAAATCTTTTCCTACCCCCTCCAGGCCACAAGAACACCTCAAGACGTGCAAAGCTTGATTATATTTTTTTTAGCCTCTTCCGTATCCTTGCATCGCTTTTCTAGTGGTGTTCTGATCCAGTTGTTCCAACCCAGCTCGTAGCTTTTCCACTACTGATGCGCTCAATGATCTCTTAGGAATTCTTTCATGATCCATATTACAGAATTTATACATGAGCGATTAAAGAAACTCTGTTATGGATGTCATTCTAAAGTTATGCATTTACATTTTTGAGAGTCAAAATGGCACAGTTATAACATCTATACATTTACAAATATGTAACCTCACTATAGTGCCATTCATAAAAGGGCCATTTTCATGGCGCTGTTAGTGGTACATAAAATTTGGGTTAAGTTAGGGTTAATAGATACATAAGGTAAGAGGAGAGAGAAATTATAATGTTGATGCTATTTTATCTTCACTCAGAATGCGTTGCACTATAACTCCCATCATTCTCTGCCAAGTAGACTGTAAGCTCGTTTGAGCAGGGCCCTCATCTACCTATTGTTCCTGTGTCACTGTGTAATTGTCTCATTTATTGTAAATTCCCCCCCCCCTTTCATAATATTGTAAAGCGCTGCGGAATTAGTTGGCGCTATACAAATATCAATAATATTAATAATAAGTGAGAACTGATTATTTAAATTATAGTTCACATTGTCTTCCTGCCCATAATAGGCTAGAGGGCTATTTAAAGAGGTTATTATTATTAGCATTTATATATCACCAACATATTATGCAGTGCTGTTGACTTATAGAAAGGGCAAGAGGTGAAGAAGGCAATGCTCAAACGAGCTTAAAATCTATAAGGATTTGACCACAGATGATCATACATCTGTTGTATGAAAATTAACCATCACATGTGTAAATTATTAAAACACTGCATCCCTGTGCTCTGAGAAGGCTGCTTTTCGGACCGGGGTGCATTATAAGGTTCAATGATATCATGTTGGGGTCAGTCTGAAAGGGGGTGTCATAACTCTTCACGCTACTGAACGCAATATAACAAGCTCCAATTGTCTGAGCAGTCATCATATCTCAGTCAGATAAAGTACAGTTGTTTGAGATAAAATGTCATTCATGCAGTATGAAAGTGCAAAATGTGAGATCTACGTGATGCCACGTAGCTTGGTCCAAAATATTTTTTTCACAGTACATTGCTAAATCTGTGATGCTCAGAATTAAAGCAGAAGGCATAAAACCTATTGACTGAATGTAGTTAACAATTAATGGCCGGATGTAGTTCACACTGAGATTTGGTTTGCTATAACCTAGCTATAGCTATAACCACTCACCTACGGAATCCTTCCAAAACAAAAGCATCTGCTTTTTGCTATTTACAATATTTGGAATAAAAGAGATTACACAACATGGAGCAAATCCCAGTGCAGAACACTTAAAGGAACACTCTGGGCACCATAACAACTTAATCAGAATGAAGTTGTTATGATGTCAGGAGGTCTGTGGTATCAGCTTACCTTCAGGGGTTAAATCGCTCATCAATAGCATATCTTTTTCACCC